CACTGGGGATGTGCCGCAACCAGGTACATGCCCTTGACCGGAATCGAACCTGGGACCCTTCAGTCTGCAGGCCGACGCTCTATCCACTGAGCCAAACCGGTTTCGGCCACTGACCCTTTTTAGTAATAATGAGAGCGAGGAGATTGTCAACTACAATTGAAAACTCACAATACTGCAATTTCCTATTTGGGACATAAGTGTTCAGCTCATGATGTTTGCTGAAGGTTAAAATTATGGTTTGGGTATACAGAGCATAGGAAAACCTCACTGATCAAGATGAGATCCTATATTGAATGGCTGTGGGATGATCTTATAAAGCATATTTACCCTCCAGTAGCATAAATCTAACAGGAAGTTTTCTTGTCATCTAAAGATAAAAGTAGTTTTATACATAAAATAGGTTGGGGGTATATATGAATGAATAACTTTATTATATGGATTTAATTGGAGGAAGGAGAGATGAAGGGTAGAGTTTTATAAATATCTTATTAAAATTTTTGAGCATTCTCTTATATTTATGACCCAAATCTATTAATACAGAAGTATTAAATTTTGTACTCATCCTTCTAAAGCAGTGGTTCTCAACCTTCTGGCCCTTTAAATGCAATTCCTCATGTTGTGACCCCAACCATAAAATTATTTTCGTTTCTACTTCATAACTGTAATGTTGCTACTGTTATGAATCGTCATGTAAATATCTGATATGCAGGATGGTCTTAGGCGACCCCTGTGAAAGGGTCGTTCGACCGCCAAAGGGGTTGCCACCCACAGGTTGAGAACGCTGTTCTAAAGGGAAAGAGTGAAATTTATAAATTACTGTTTTAGTATATTACAGTTATTTTATATGATAACTTAATTTTTTCAGCAAAATGGAAATATAGTGATAAAGGAAAGGAAGAAATGCAATTTGCTGTTGGTTGGAGTGGCTCTTTAAATGTCGAAGAAGGGTAGGTACCGGTTAATTTTTTGCCTCTATGTGTTAAATGTGTATATGAAATTGTTTGAATTGTAAGCGAATCTATTACGTTTCATCTTTTGGAAAGTGTATGTTCATTCCAACTTTGAGGTGGTAGAGCATGACTCAGTTAGCAAGTTTTAATTTTACTCATCATGTGATTTCTTAAAAACACACACAACTGTTTGGAGAGGATTTAAAGAAGAGGTCAGAGAGAATTTTATAACATCTTTTCTACATTTTTTCTTTTCCGCCGTCTTCCATTGCTAATTTTATTCAGCCAGAAAGTCAAGGGCAGTAATTGTCTTCTCTGCTTCGCTGGCATTGGACTTGTACTTCAAGGGGACAGTGCTACAGTAATTCTTTTTTTTTCTTTTCATTTCTGTTTTTATTTTTATTGAATTTATTGGGGTGACATTGGCTAATAAAGTTATATAGGTTTCAGGTGTGCAATTCTATAACACGTCATCTCTACATTGTTTTCTGTGTTCACCACCCCAGGGCTACATTAATGCTTAGAACTCACAAATACTTCAAAAAAGCAAGTTGGTGAATTCAAGGTTTCCTGCTAACCCAGTAAGAGTCATACAATCAAATCTCTAACATGGTTACAGGATGGAGCTGCTAGCCTGAACCTGGAGCCAAAACTGTTTCGAATCGCATTTTTATGACCCAAAGCTCTCTGATAAGAATGAATACGATTTTTTAGACTTTGAATTCAGATAAAAGAAAGCCAAGTGGGAGCCCGTAGTACATGCCTGCACATTGTAGATACTCTTATCAAAAAATGAAAATATTTCTCCTTACTAGTAAGTCATTTAGTCTAAAGCATTTCAAAGACACTTCATTTCTGCCACGAGTGCAGCGCAAACATAATGGCCGAATTCCTTTACAGACAACAAGCAAAAAGGTTGACTTTGTTCAGTGATTCCCTGGCGTGTGGGCAAGAGTATTTCTAGTTCTCCTAATGGTCCTGGGGTTTGACTGGTTAAATAATAATCAGTCAAGGAGTTATTTTAATTTGGGGCTTGTTCTCTGAGCTCTTGACAAATTTTTCAAGCCGACATGTCAGGAAAAAAGAACCGCTAGGGAACATCCACCCTAACCTGTGCTTAGAGATAGGTTATTGGGGCCAGTTTGTGCAAAATCTGAACGTAACAGCCCACTGGTTGAAGCACAGTAGGTCCCTGGAGTCTGTGCTCTGCAGACCTGCCATGACCAACAGTGCCTCCTGCCCTCGCTCAAGTTCTCACTGATGCGGAGGAGAGGGGAGTGGGCTGTGGCCACAGCCTGGTGAGCTTTGATACTGTCTCAGTTCTGTACATCATCACAGTGTGTCGACAGGTTTTGCTTTCTTTACTTTCATGCTTTTCATGACAATACAGAATGAAAAATACTGCTTTTAAATTAACCTCAAGTGAATGTGGCATTGCCTTTCGTGGGAATGGATTTTATGATCCTACTTACAGTGGAGTTTGTTTGCTGTAAATATATTTTTATTGATTTCAGAGAGGAAGGGAGAGGGGAGAGAGAGATAGAAACGTCAGTGATGACAGAGAATCATTGATCGGCTGCCTCCTACACATCCCACACTGCGGGGATGGAGCCCGCAACCTGGACATGTGCCCTTGGCCAGAATTGAACCTGGGACCCTTCAGTCTGCAGGCCAACGCTCTATCCACTGAGCCAAACCAGCCAGGGCTTACGGTGGAGTTTTACTGTGATTTTACTGAGGTGCTGAATCAGACTGGTCCACAGAGCTCATCTCTCACTTACCGCCCTTTAACATCACATTCGAGAGAAGTAAAAGCAGTTCATCCACTCATGAGATAAGCTCACACTTTTGTTTTTGTTCTTAGGGAGCATGTCACCAGTGCCCTGTGCATCCCACTGGCAAGCCAGAAGAGGTAAGGATGGATAAGAGGGGTTTGTTTGCTTTGCTGTGATTGCTGGGCCGTTCTGATCATGACTTTTGTTTGTGGCAGGAGTTCCACGGGCCGCCCTGACTGGACCTGCATCGTGCTGGGCTTCACGTCGGGTTCCGTGCGCTTCTACACGGAGGTGAGCCCCAGGCCCACTGGTCGGAAAGAGCAGTGACTGAGACACCTAGTTAGGCACCACTGTACTCGTTTGTGACTACCGGTTGGGGACGCATAGTTGATGCTTTATGGGGATGGAGGCTGGACAGGGGAAGGGTGGTGGTAGAAAGTTCTGGTAAGAGGGATACAGAAGAGAAGCTGTATTCTTCTGAGAAGAGAGGACCTGGTGTCCATGGAGAACTTGTTGGGGACGCGGTACTCCCTGCCTGGCCGCACCGGCTCAGCTATGTTGGTGAGAAATCAAGCCGGGCCCTTCTCTGTGCCTCCTCCTAGAACGGTGTGCTGTTGCTCGCACAGCTTCTGAATGAGGACCCTGTGCTGCAGCTTAAATGCAGGACCTACGAGATCCCACGGCATCCGGGCGTGACTGAGCAGGTATGTGAGAGTTCGTATTCAAGTACCAGTGGCTTTACTTGAAGTCGTGTCTTCCTCTATATCAGGTGGAGAGGTAAAGCTATCTTTGTCTGGTGACACAGTTAGCTGTACGGTCACATTCTTGAGATACAACCAATTTACAGCTGAGCAAAGAGAATACCAGTCATGCTTTAACTTATTTAATGAAGTTTTGCATGTTTGTTCTGCAGTCAAATAAAATACTTTAGTCAGAAGCCAAAAAAGGTTTCTTATTTTTAGAATTTAATAGTGACTTAAAACAAAAATGGGATATTATATAACTTTATATAGTTTTAATTTGGGTTTAGGTATCAAAATATATGTGCAAGGTGTCCCCCCAAAAATGTATCCACACTTTTTCCTGATAGCTCAATTGATGTTTCTTTTCAGATTTAACCCATTGGAATTAATAATTATTCAAACTATGTATACAATTTTGGGGACACCCCATATATTTGATCCTTCTTTGTACCACCTGCTTCCAAAGGTTTGAAGTTAACAGGTGTATATATTGTGTGCCTGTGGGAACTTAACTAGCATTATAGATGGACTAGAGCTATAAGAACTGGAGCAATAGAAGAAATTAATCTTATAGGAAAGACTAAATTAATATCCATTAATTCCTATGAGAGAGTTAATTAGTAATGTAAAGCAATGCCTAGGTAATTGCTGTGTAGCCATAATGAAAAACTACTTGTTCGCTTAGCAAAATGGAAAATCATTGACATATTATTGAATAATTAAAACATGTTATGGGATAATATATGTGGTATATTCTCACACAAAAGTGTATGATTATATGTGAGGATAGGTACTGAGACCTGTCAGAGATTTCAGGTAAGTTTCCTTTTTTCTTTCTACTTTTATATAGTTAGTGTTTGTATTTGCACAATGACTGTATTTTATTTTTATAAAACATATACCTTTTTTGTTAATCTCACCTTGTATCCTAAAAGCATTATTCACCATGAACAAAAGTTTCTATTTGAGAAGAATCTCAATTCCTTGGCCAAAAACTTCCTGAAATTAATTTTCCATTTATTTTTACTTTTCCTCTGCTTGTGTTGTTTTTTGTGGCTGTTTTGTGTTGGTGGTTGACGGTTGTTGTCATAATGTTTTTTACTTTACATTAGTCATGACATTCAGCTCTAATAGGAAAATGAATACATTTATTTGACAATGCTGATTTATTATTTTCTTCTTTCTTTGGTAGAATGAAGAGCTGAGTATCTTATATCCTGCTGCCATTGTGACTATTGATGGATTTAGCCTTTTTCAGTCTCTTCGTGCTTGTCGAAATCAGGTAGCAAAAGGTAATTTTTGGCAAGAAATAGCTAACTTGTGGTGATGTTTGTCTAATTTCATGTAACCTATTTAACCTATGAGTTGCCAGAGGCGAGTGTGACCAGCACAGGAACAATGGGGTTGTTCACGGATTAGGCTAAATGTGCATCTCTAATAGACACGCTTTTCTACTAAGTCAGAATTCAGTTGAATTTTTATAGCTATTTCATAGTTTTTGAAATTTTGAAATTTAGCCCATTATAAACTGATTGTCTTGGGACACTTAAAGTAGTCACGATAGCCCGGCTGGTGTGGCTCAATAGTTGAGCGTCGACCTATGAACCAGGTCGCAGTTCGATTCCCAGTCAGGGCACATGTCCAGGTTGCAGGCTTGATCCCCAGTAGGGGCCATGCAGGAGACATCTGATCAATGATTCTCTCATCATTGATGCTTCTACCCCTCTCTCCCTTTACCTTCCCCTCTCTGAAATCAATAAAAACATAAAATATTATTACATTTTTTGTGATTTTTTAAAAATATAAAACTTCACTGTACTCATTATAGTGAAGTTTGGTTTGTCTAATTTTTGTCTTGGACAGCTGCAGCTTCAGGCAATGAGAACATACAGCCACCACCATTAGCTTATAAGAAATGGGGTCTGCAAGATGTTGACACTATCGTTGATCATGCTAGTATTGGTAAGCATTACTATTCCTTTTGATTGCAGGATCTCATCTGCAGATTTATTCTTATGCGAAAAGAAAATGCATTGCTTTTAGTGAGACACGTGGAAGTTAGTTCAGACTTTCACAATTTGATTTAATTTTTCTGCAGACAAGTTTAATCCATATAATTTCCCTATAGATTAGTGTTTTTAAAATGTAACCTTTAAGCCAGCAGAATATAGAGAAAAGCAGATTTCTCCTTGAAACCAGTATTTGAAGGCTCACCGTGCTAGGCCTCAGGAATAGAGCCGAGAAGACATGGTCGCTGCTGCCAGGAAGTGTGAGTGTCATGGGAAGAAACGCATGGAATAGGTATAGGACCACAACCTAATGGTCGTTGGAGTGGACAGTGGACTGCTGCATTGGGAGCTGGGAGAGGCCCGGCACTGAGGGAGTGCGGAAGAAGGGTGGACTTTAATCCGGGACGGGAAGAAGAAGGATTTGACCAAGAGAACAGACACAGAGAAGGCATTCTTGCCATGTAGGCATGAGGGTAGAAGTGCATTGTCTTCTGGAAAAACAGTGGATGCCCGGGAGAACTGACAAGAGCGAGGCCAAGTATAGAAACAGGAGTCAGGTTTTGAAGGGCCCGGCGTGCTATGCAGGAGGCACTGAGAGCTCTCCCACAGCCACACTGGGCGCCACTGAGGAACTGTGAGCAGGAGCACGACACTACCTCAGCCTGTTAGGAAAACCACTTGGTGGAAGTTCAGAGGTCGCGATGTAAGGGTCAAAACTAGGAAATGAGTACAGTAGCGAAGTGTAATAATCTTGGGAAGAAGTAATCGGCTCCCGAGTTAAGGTAGTAGAAACGGGGTGGAGATGAAGCACATGCTATTTTAATATTTTTTTTCTATTTATCAATGTAATATTTGCTTGTTAAAAATGTAAATAGTACATAAATATGTAAAGAGAAAAGGAAAACAATATCCCCTTACATTCTACCATCTAAAGATACTTATCATTGGCATTTTTGTAAACATTCGTTAAGAATTGTATGTGTACCATTATGTATGGTTGTGTAGACAGGCTTTCAAAACTAGGATTATTCATACCAACTATTATAGCCCTTTTCTTATCAACAGGCTTTCACATCAATTTTGCCAAATATACGTTTTTATCAGAGTCCTAATAGAAGACAGGTGACATCTTAAAAATAGCGTCATTGAAAGGGGTTTATTTGCAGAGAAACTATTTATAAAGTGTGAGACCCACCCATTCGGGATAGGGTCTCAGGGCTGGTTAACAGCACAGCTGTTACCCACTCCCAGGCCTAAGAGATGAGGGCCCAGAGCAGTGCCAGGACTTGGGGGTGAGGAGTAGGCTCAGCACCTGAGAGCAGGCTCTGTCTCGGGTGCAGGCAGGGGAGCTGGAGAGAGTTGGACAGAGTTGAGACGTACTTTGGCCTTGCGAAGGGATGGGCTTTTGTTCAGTGGTCACGGGAAGTAGGTTTCCTGACCTCATTCTCCTTACTCCCTTTGACCTGCTGCTGGGCTTCCCAGCTGTCTGACCCCAACTGCAAGTCCACAGGATCGGCACACTGGCCCCGGGAGTGAGCAGAGAGAAAGGGCAGGAGTGTGAATCTAGAGGCCAAACAGTAGATGGTGGACAGATGGTCTGTTTACTGTTGCATAGGATTGTATGCAATCCTCTGTGTTAACACCTTACTGATAGACATTCAGTTTGTCTTGACTCTTTTGCTAAAATAAAATTGCAACAAAATTCCAAAGTGTTGAGTTCAGTTCAGGGTAGCATCCCTGTGCTGTTAATTAAACTTTGGAACATTGAAACAGGCTAGGATAAATGAATGGGTAGAAAAATCTGACTCTACTCACTTATCTCCCAGCCTACAAAATGAAGAAAGAGAAGTGCCGTGGACTTTATGCAAAGGTTTGGTTAGTTCATTCAGTAAATAAATGAACTAGTGCCTGTTGTGTCCCAGCAGCTAATATTGGCGCTAGAAATACAAGGCAGACGGATGAAGTGTACATTCCGGTGATGAGACAAACAGTATGGTAACAGCAGAGTGTTAGACGCATCAGGAATAAATCATCAGAGTTGTGATAAAGGAAGAGGGTACTCCAGGGGGGCCTGTGAGGAAAGGCCTGTCCAGGGAAGTGGCATTCAGACTGAGACATGAGGGTGAGGAGGAGCCAGCTCCGGGAGAACATTCTCGGTAGAGGGAGCAGCGAAGATAAGATGTAATGGTTCATAGCTTAGAGGCCTTATACGTGCACTTTTAACCTTACAAGTACATTATGATAATTACTTTCGTAGCTTTTAAAAATGACTTTTGTCTGTTAAATTGAGCGGTTAATGTCCCAGAATGGAATTGAAGTAAACATTCAATGGCCTACACTGACAGGTCCTTTCAGAGCGTTCAGGTCATGCCTTGTTGTCGCTTGATCACTAGGTATTATGACGCTGTCCCCTTTTGATCAAATGAAGACTGCCTCCAATATCGGTGGATTTAACGCAGCCATTAAGAACAGCCCACCTGCCATGTCTCAGTACATCACTGTAGGGTCCAATCCGTTCACTGGCTTCTTCTATGCTCTAGAGGTAAGAGGTTCCTCCCTGATCATGGGTAAGGCCGCAGACTGAGTTTTCCACTTGTCTAAACATGGCTATGGTACCTGAGCCTTACAAAGGTTAAGCAGTTTACATTGCTAAGTTTCAGTCTAACCTCATATGAATCTCTGCTCGCTTTCTTCTAAATTGTTTAAATTAACTGAAAGATACTGAAGTCAGTGTAAACAATTGAACTTTGTTTCTGATGGCCCGAGTTCGTGGACACCGAGTTGCCTTGGATACTGTGCGGTGGTCAGAAGCTCGGGGTGTGGACCAGCCCCCACGGGTTTGCGTCCGTGAGGATTGTCAGGACAGAACTGGCTGCCAGCTGTCATTATCCACGTGGTGAAAATGGCTCCTTAAAACAGGAGACAGACTTGGCAGCTCTTACTTCTCACTTGAAAAGCAGCCTTCTCAGAATTGCCTACCTAACCTATCTTTTTACTTTAGTAAAATATATATATATTTTTAGAAAGACTCTCCTAAAGTACATACCCTTGACCGGAATCGAACCTGGGACCCTTCAGTCCTCAGGCCGACACTCTACCCACTGAGCCAAAGCACTCAGGGTTAAAATATATATATATTTTTAAAGAGGGCAAAGAGCAAGTTGTGTATGATTGGGAAATCCATAGCCCTGATATAGTAATGCCATTTTAATATCCTAGTTTAAAAGTTTCAATTAAGTTACAACTAAAAAAGGGAACTCCTAAAGATAAAATGCCAGTGGCTTTGACGTTGACACTTTGATGATATTGCTACCTCCTGGAATAAAGTGACTATTCTCCCCTTAAGGAGCTGCATAGGTTCTTGCTATCCAGGCTTTACAGCTTTTTCAGACTTTATAACGCAGGCCTCCTTTAGGAAGGCTTAGAAAGCTACCCTGTTCCTTTGTCAGCGGGCATGTGTTCTGTCTTCCAGGGAAGCACACAGCCGTTGCTCTCTCACGTTGCCCTCGCTGTTGCCAGCAAACTCACTTCTGCTCTGTTTAATGCCGCCAGGTAATCGCATAACAATTACATTAAGCCGTCTCTACTTTGTCTAGCTTGGTTTGGGCTTCTAATGTGATAGTCTGCACTTGGACGCTCTGCGAGCCCCGGTTTTATTCTCACGCTCTCTTTCCAGTGGTTGGCTTGGTTGGAAGAGTAGGCACGAGGAAGAAGCTGTCCAAAAGCAAAAGCCGAAGATGGAGCCAGCCACCCCATTAGCTGTAAGGCAAGTCGGCCATGCTCTTCTCAAACTGGGGTGGTTTTGGAAACGTTCTGTGGGATTTAGGGTCTTTCGATGAGCTTAGGGGATTTGTTAATCTCATGAGTCTTTGGAGCCTCTAAAAGTCACTGGTATGGGATGAGTTTTCCAGTAGAATGTAAACTCCATGAGGACAGCAGTTCTTGCCTGTTTCATTCACTGCTGTCTCCCTGTGACATCACAGGGGCTCAGTATGTATTTGTGTGTGTGTGTTGTTTTTGTTTTACAGACACCAAAAGCTTAGCTTCTAAGTCGCAGGAACATTAACTGTGTGATAGCTGATGATTTTCTTTTTAAAAATAGTTTGGTTTGTCAGTAAGCTATAAAAATATTTTTAAAAAACCACCTTAGTAATTTCTTTAAAAAAATAAAAATAAAATGAAAACAGGAGCCCCCTGCATTCAGGCCCTCTTCAGAATGCCGGCTTTGCCTCTTTGCTTACCTCCATCCTTAGTGCTGTCAGGTTGGGGGTGGGGGAGAAGAGGTGGTTTTTGCTAGATTTTGTTTTAAAATTATTTTTTATTACCTAATATAAAGTACCACCATGAAGGGAAGTAGAAACACTCCCTTCCCCCTTTTAGATAATCTTCACCTAAAGAGATACAACCAATTATGTTATCAAAACTTCTTGAAGTTTCTCTCCTAAGGTTATTTCATCTTATTTTAAAATATGCCACATTTTTAAATTCATTCAGGAATCAGGAATTAAGCCAAATGGCCATATGCGTCCCTAACAGATGTAGCGATTTGAGCCCTTTGTCTCAGGGACTGTCATCAAAGTGAGCTCTCCTGGTCCTTTCTCAGTACCCTTTACTCTTACTGTACTTACAGCTCTAGTGCGATTGGTTACAGACCAGTAGCAGCTTAGAGAGAAATATTTAGAAGGGAAGTTCTCCCTTCAAGCTAATTAACATTGGTATCAGCAAGATGTGATACCTAGCAAAGAGAAAACAGGTTAGGAATAAGAACTTAGAACAGACAGTAAATGCCTGTGTAGGAGCCAAGTTTTCTAAAATTTTGCTGGTTGTGAGGGTATTGTTTTCCATGACATACCGCTTAATCAAGGAGAGATGGTTATGATGCACTTGATGTTCTCTGAAGAATAAGGTCGTGGGTATTTACATAGAAAACCTATAAAATAAATAGATATTTTTATTTTATAATGGAGGAAACTTCTTATAGTGCAAACTGTCATATGTAGGTAATTAATTATTAGTCCATACAAGGTTCGTATTTCTTTATGTAAAAGTAGATTCAGCCTATGTCATTTACACATTTCATGATTGTGGTATATATCTCCAGATTGGACTGTGATTTGAGCTTTTTGTTTTCTTTTACATTTCAGATTTGGGCTTCCAGATTCTAGACGCCATGGTGAGAGCATTTGTCTGTCTCCCTGTAATTCTCTGGCAGCAGTAACGGATGATTTTGGCAGAGTTATTCTATTGGATGTAACCAGAGGAATCGCAATACGCATGTGGAAAGGTACGTCCTTACAAACATCCAGGAAAAAAGCTTCATTTGTTTTTTACCCCAATAGTTGAGCAACATGATCATTCTTTAGCTTCTGGTTGATCTGTCTAATTCTTTAAGCTTTTTTTTTTTTTTTTTAAACATGACCTGGGATTGGCAACACTTGATCCAGAAATCCAGTTGATATGTCTTTAAGTTTGATAAACTCATAGGCCCGTCTAACCTCTTTTTTATGTACTTTTCAATTCTCTCTGTCATTGTCAATTCCTGAACTCAGTTTTTTTGCACCGGCTACATTTATTCCATTTCACAAGGCCATGTTTGAGTCAGATGTTCTCCCCAAAGCTAGAATGCCGAGTCTTTCAGATTTAAGAAGCAAAACCGGGCAAAATCCATCTTGGCTGACTTGATTTCTCTATCCATATGCTTGGGCCAATTCACTTAACGTTATTGGTAACTGTGTCAATTGGGAGTTGCATTTGGCTGCTAATATCAGACCCAAGTACAGGATTGATATGAAATCACCACAGTGTCCTCAGGAACCCAGTGTCCTTCCATGTAGCTTCCCCACTCGAGGTCCTCTCATGGTGCAAAAGGCTGCTGGAGCTCCAGCCCTCTTGTCTGTATCCCATGATGGAAGAAGGAGAAAGGAGTCAGTCTACTTTGAAGATACTTCCTGAAGCCCTCCAACCTTTTTTGATAAGATATTCGCCAGAAGTTAGTCACATGGTCTTACCTAACTGTTAGGAAGGCTTGAAAATATGAAGTTACATTGTCGACCTGAACAGAATAAAAAGTCTTTGATGAAGGAAGAAGTGGAGACTGCATCGTTGGGAATCACCCGTAATGATAGCATGTGAGCACAGGTTGGAAACCACAGTTATGGTGCAATCTGGTCTGCACTTGGCATAATGGACTTGAGGACATTAAACTACTCTGGACCGGATGGAGTCCATTCTCACCTTCTTGCCGACGAATTCCTATAGCGCTCACCGGCCACATGCCTCAGTGTCTGCAGAAGTAGGATTCTGTGCTGCAGACACATCATTCCTCCGTGATGTTCGTCTTCTGAAGCAACATCAAGGCTGTGTTCTCAGCAAGACTTGCCCCGAACCTGGAAGGCGCAGGCGTGCCAGCTGGCCCAGATCCCCTGTGACGGGCTTGTTGCTCGCCTTGCTGCTCACCTTTCGGCCACCAGTGCAGTCAGTTCTCCTCCCTGTGCTGGGAAGAGAGGCATCGATGGCCTGTGAGAGCGGCCACCTCCCTTCACTCTGCGGCCCACACTTTCCCTCCATCTGCCCACCACCAAGGAACTTGAGTAACAGGAAATCAGTTTGATCTCTTCCTTAAAGTTTAAATGGACTGTTGTTTCAAAACCCAACCTGATCATCTCCCAGAGTGTTTTAAAGGGAGAGAGTTTTTAAAGAGAGGGAGAGAAGGGAATCAGATGGGAGGCTCACGAGGCTTCAATGACACCTGTTTTCTTCTTAAAGAAAAAAAGCGATCTTGCCCTAACCGGTTTGGCTCAGTGGATGGAGCGTCAGCCTGCAGACTCAAGGGTCCCGGGTTCGATTCCGGTCAAGGGCATGTACCTTGGTCGTGGGCACATCCCCAGCAGGGAGTGTGCAGGAAGCAGCTGATCGATGTTTCTAACTCTCTATCCCTCTCCCTTCCTCTCTGTAAAAAATCAATAAAATATATTTAAAAAAAAAAAAAGCGATCTGAAGCAAACTGAGCAAAATACAAGATTTAATAAGACTTCATGGTTGATTCTATATTTATTATAATTATTAATAGTTTCTGTTTAAGATATTTCATAATTTAAAAATAACAAAGTTTTACAGCTTTTCTTAAATTCCTTCCCCACCCCCAAAAAATCCCATAGTGCTTGAGAAGGCTACTGTTAAACTTACATTAATTTACCAATTAGCATCCCTTTCTCCTGTCTTCAGGGTATCGGGACGCCCAGATTGGTTGGGTCCAGGTGGTAGAGGACCTCCACGAAAGAGTCCCAGAAAAGGGGGACCCCTCCCCCTTTGGGAGTCCCCAGGGCCCCAGTCGAGTGGCTCAGTTCCTCGTGATCTACGCGCCGAGGAGGGGGATTTTGGAGGTGTGGAGCACACAGCAGGGACCCAGAGTGGGCGCGTTCAACGTGGGCAAGCACTGCAGGTGAGCTGCAGGCCGCCCCTTCCTGGTGCAGCAGAGCTTCATCCAAGTAAAGCTTTCATTCCATCTGCTTATTCGTTTGCAAGTTGTTTGAGACACATGTTCTTTATTATGGTTTTTCCTGCAAGTGTGTGATAACAGAGAAACCTTCTTGAAAAGGCCGCGATGTGCTACCGAATGAGTTAGCTTTGGTGCTGCCTTTTGTCCCGTCCCTTCCTCACGCTGTGGAGGCTCCGGAGGGAAGATGCCTTCAGATGTCAGATGCTTTGTTTGCCATTGCAACACGGGCCTGTGTTCATTTCCTTTTCTAGCACATTTTTAAAAAATATGTTTGTATTGATTTTTAGAGAGAGAGGAAGGGAGAGGGATAGAGAGATTGAAATATCGTTGCGAGAGAAACGTCCATTGGCTGCCTCCTGCACTCCCCCTACTGGGGATCCGGCA